CTGCTGGTGGTGGGGGTGGTGAGGGTGGCAGTTAGTACTCGCCTAATTGAGCTTGCGGGGTTGAGTTCTGGCTCTTTGGTCCCGCCTCTCAACCGTCAATCAACTGGTGTACAGGTTCCTGAGCCTACTGGGCTCTATCATATCTACACTTGAAACTGTGTATGGAGTCAGCCTCCACCACATCACTGCTTAATGCATTCCATTTATTAACTGCTCTGACACTGAAAAAGTTCTTTCTAATGACTCTGTGGCTCATTTGGGTACTCAGTTTCCACCTGTGTCCCCTTGTTCGTATTCCACCTGTGTTAAACACTTTATCTTTATCTACCCTGTTAATTTCCCTGAAAATTTTGTAGATGGTGATCATGTCTCCCCTTACTCTTCTATCTTCCAGGGACGTGAGGTTTAGCTCCCGTAGCCTTTCCTCGTAGCTCATACCTCTTAGTTCCAGGACGAGTCTAGTGGCATACCTTTGAATCTTTGCTAACTCTGTCTTGTGTTTAACTAGGTATGGACTCCAAGTTGGAGCTGCATCATCCAGGATTGGTCTGACATAAGTGGTATACAGGGCCCTGGGCGATTCCTTACACAAATTTCTAAAGGCAGTTCTTGTGTTGGTCAATCTAGCATATGCCGCTGATGATATTCTTTTGATGTGGGTCTCTGGGGACAGGTTCGGTGTGATATCAACCCCCAGATCTTTCTCTATATTTGACTATTGCAGCATTTCACCTCCCAGATGGTACCGTGTATTCAGCCTTCTGCTCCCTTCGCCTAATTTCATTACTTTACAATTTCCTGAATAGAACTTTAGCAGCCATTTTCAAGACCATTCCACCAGTTTGTCCAGGTCGTCCTGTAGTCTCTGTCTGTCTTCATCTGTCTTGATTCTTCTCATAATTTTTGCATCATCAGCAAACATTGAGAGGAATGAGTCTATACCCTCTGGAAGATCATTTACATATATTAGAAACAGGATGGGTCCAAGTACAGAGCCCTGGGGGACTCCGCTGGTGACATCTCGCCACTGATGTCTCTCCCCTCACAGTTACTCGCTGTTTCCTGTTGCTTAGATACTCCCTTATCCACTGGAGCACCTTACTTTTTATTGATAGTGGTGAAGGGCTGGTGGTAGTGCTAGTGGGCTGGTGGTGGAGGGCTAGTGGTAGTGGGCTGGTGGTTGAGGGCTGGTGGTGGTGGTAGTGGGCTGGTGGTTGAGGGCTGGTGGTGGTGGTAGTGGGCTGGTGGTGGAGGGCTGGTGGTGGTGGGCTGGTGGTGGTGGTAGTGGGCTGGTGGTGGAGGGCTGGTGGTGGTGGGCTGGTGGTGGAGGGCTGGTGGTGGTGGTAGTGGGCTGGTGGTGGAGGGCTGGTGGTGGTGGTAGTGGGCTGGTGGTGGAGGGCTGGTGGTGGTGGTAGTGGGCTGGTGGTGGAGGGCTGGTGGTGGTGGTAGTGGGCTGGTGGTGGAGGGCTGGTGGTGGTGGTAGTGGGCTGGTGGTGGAGGGCTGGTGGTGGTGGTAGTGGGCTGGTGGTGGAGGGCTGGTGGTGGTGGTAGTGGGCTGGTGGTGGTAGTGGGCTGGTGGTGGAGGGCTGGTGGTGGTGGGCTGGTGGTTGAGGGCTGGTGGTGGTGGTAGTGGGCTGGTGGTGGAGGGCTGGTGGTGGTGGTAGTGGGCTGGTGGTGGAGGGCTGGTGGTGGTGGTAGTGGGCTGGTGGTGGAGGGCTGCTGGTGGTGGTGGAGGGCTGCTGGTGGTGGTAGTGGGCTGGTGGTGGTGGTAGTGGGCTGGTGGTGGAGGGCTAGTGGTAGTGGGCTGGTGGAGGAGGGCTGGTGGTAGTGGGCTGGTGGTGGAGGGCTGGTGGTGGTGGGCTGGTGGTGGAGGGCTGGTGGTGGTGGGCTGGTGGTGGAGGGCTGGTGGTAGTGGGCTGGTGGTGGTGGGCTGGTGGTAGTGGGCTGGTGGTGGAGGGCTGGTGGTAGTGGGCTGGTGGTGGAGGGCTGGTGGTGGTGGGCTGGTGGTGGAGGGCTGGTGGTAGTGGGCTGGTGGTGGAGGGCTGGTGGTGGAGGGCTGGTGGTGGAGGGCTGGTGGTGGTGGTAGTGGGCTGGTGGTGGAGGGCTGGTGGTGGAGGCCTGGTGGTGGAGGGCTGGTGGTGGAGGGCTGGTGGTATTGTAGGGGGGCTGGTGGTGGTTGTACATAGTGTTGTAGGTTATGACAGTGTTGGAAGTATTGATCCTGGTGACTAGCGTATAGTGGAGTTATAAGGAGAGGCCGCAGACTCCAGGTCGAACCCCCGCCGCTCCGAGGCCGTCTTCACAGGAACCTCTTAACCCTGGCTATTTCCCCTTCCTCCCCCCCCCCCTACCTCCCCAACCTGTCCATTCCACCCCCAACCCCACACTAACTGCAGTCAGCCAGTAGCTACACCAAAGAGCAGAATTATTTTTTCCAATAATCCCAATCTGTTATTCAATCATAATTTATGCGAGACTTGTAAATGGCATTATTATTGAAAATATCAGTAGGAGCCATGAGGATGATTCGAACCTGCACACTGAGTACTCCAAAGCACACGCCCTAAACCACTCAGCACTCTTGTGGCCCCCACACCCTTGTGGCCAAGTTACCCTTACTAAATACTTAGAATCATTATCCTCCAGATTATAATGGTATTCGCCTTTATAGACGTCAGGAACAGCAACAAATCTTTTGTCCAGGAAACAAAAAGACGATATAAAGGCGTCGTGAATGGCCGACTTGGTAGTAAATTCCCTAGAAGCGACATTCACTTGTTTTCTCGCGCTCTGGTAAAGTGGAGGCGGGAATTTATGGTCGTGAAATGGTCGACCAGTGTTCGTGGACTTTATTATATCAATATTCTAAGATAATTTATTATATTTTTAGCATATATAAAGTGGTAATATTGTCTGTAAAATGTTGAGTTGATTTAAGACCCATCGTAGTACCCATCGTATTTTAATGTGTAAATGCCTTAAAGCCAAAAACTTACATACTTACTCATACCGACTCGCAAAATTGACGTAATGTCCCGTTTTCTATTAGTAGGTCCTCTGTTAGGTTAGGTTCGGGCAATTTAGTACCTCAATCTGGAGACGTTGTGAACGCCTGAGAGGACGGACTGGTTTGGCATCACTCGCCTCAGCCTTGTTAAGTGAAGTCCAGAGCTTGTGTTGCAGGTTAAGACAACGTCGACTACCAGTCACCATCTTTACCATCTGGAGCGTTGTTTTATTTATATGGTTCCTGTGGCTAGATGTTAAGGCCTTACACTCTTCTTATTGTTGACCGTGAGTGAACACGGCCGCCTTGCTCCCTCCTGTCTTCACGACACCAACCTGTAGGAGAGAAGAGACACATTGTTTACACTTAGTATACTCCTCTCTAAACTGACTCTTGTCACACGAGCTGTCTCTTTAGTCAATCACCAGGATTTATACTGAGAATTATATTATATATATATATATATATATATATATATATATATATATATATATATATATATATATATATATATGGGTCTTAAATCAGAGGATACAACTGACGATTTACTATAAAACCAGAAAAACGGCCAGCCTACTCATGAGAAACTCTCCAGACACAAAACAGAACGCTTTAAAAGAGACTAACGTCGTCTATGCCTTCAAATGCCCACTTGGGGACTGTAAGCTCCAAAAAACCCAGTATATAGGCAAGACAACAACATCTCTTTCTAGGCGTTTAACGATGCATAAGCAACAGGGCTCCATTAAGGAAAATATAATCTCTTCCCACAACCAAACCATCGCCAGAGAAATCCTAGTAAACAACACAGAAATCATCGATAGATACAGCGATAGCAGGCGGCTTGACGTTTGCGAGGCACTACACATCAAGAAGTCAACACCAGCAATCAACAGCCAATTATTGCACAACTATATTCTACCCACCTCAAGACTCCGCTCCAATATAGAAGCATCAAGAAATATGGACCAATAGGCTTTCTACAAACACTTCTATTCAATACCCATTGTTTGTGTTCTGTCTTGTGTTGATACTTTTAATACCCTATTAATATCCCCTCTTGTTCTGTCTTGTGTTAATGCCACATCACCCCTCCCACCTCACTCAAATGTAGATATAAAATCGGAGATACATAAGTTCTATTCAGTTGTGTATTTGTGAACTAAAGTCTCTGAAAATGTAATAAGTTTTACGAAACGCGCCCGTGTCGCGTCAGACTAGAAATAAAAATGAATTTTGGAGAATTGATTTTTGATTTACCTCCAACAGTGAAGCGTAATGTACGAAAGATTGAGAAAATTCGTGTTAGAATTATTAATCTTACTTTTTCGGTCATATTTAATAATATATGTCTACAGGAAAGACTGCTACCAAAATATACTAATAATATATATATATATATATATATATATATATATATATATATATATATATATATATATATATATATAATTATATATAATGTTTTACAACACGTTAAGAGGTGGCTGTTCTCACCTCCTCGTCTGAAGCGTGAACCTGGAAACTGATCAATTTAATTAGTATATGATTCTATTCAGTAACTGTATTTGTGACAATCCTAACTGTTAATCCTAACTGTTAATCCTAACTGTTAATCCTAACTCAATCTCAATCTGACTGGTCCACTGGTCCACACTACCTACGTTACCTGCCTTAATGGTCCATCAGTCTAACTGGTCCACACTACCTACGTTACCTGCCTTAATGGTCCATCAGTAACTGGTCCACACTACCTACGTTACCTGCCTTAATGGTCCATCAGTAACTGGTCCACACTACCTACGTTACCTGCCTTAATGGTCCATCAGTAACTGGTCCACACTACCTACGTTACCTGCCTTAATGGTCCATCAGTAACTGGTCCACACTACCTACGTTACCTGCCTTAATGGTCCATCAGTAACTGGTCCACACTACCTACGTTACCCGCCTTAATAGTGCACTAACTCAGCCTCTCCCTCCGTGTCCACAGTCTCCACCTCTGGCGTGGTATGGGTGAGTGTTGGAGCAGCGGTGTTGGTGATGGTGCTGGGGGCAGTGTCGTGGGCCTGCTACCGGAAGAGAGGCGCCCATAAGAAGCTCGGGGATCGAACTGTGACTCTAAGAAGACCAACGGCGGTAAAGAACCCACAGCCACAGAGCCACTATCTCAAGAAGTCTCCATCGCCAACGGGACCCAAAACTCCCCCAGGAGGTAAATACCATTACATATATACATACATATGTTATATATGTTTTACCCACTAGCCAGATAGCAGTACTCGGCTTACTATGCAAAGTCCTATTTGCCTAATAAGCCAAGTTTGTCTAAATTCAAATATTTTTCAATATTTTCTTATAAAATGATAAAGCTATCCATTTCATTATGTATGAGTTCATTTTCTTTAATTTGAGTAATTTAAGTTAAAACTAATAGTTATATTTATCCTTTTCTTTGGCTTCATTTTCTTATTTATATTCTTCATCTTCGTCTCTTTCCCTGTGCCTGTCTCTGTCTCTTTCTCTACCTCCCTGGTTCTCTTCACCTCCAATCAGCCAAGGCAAAGCCCTCAAAATTGCATTTCCTTTAAAACCAAATGGTTGAGTAGTGGCCAAGTGAGCCTTGTGCAGCACCCTAGACTATGGGAAGGGGGGGACAGGGTGTGGCAGGAACTATACCTGCTGCTGTAACTCCTGCCTCACCCTGTCCCACTGGCCACCATGTGCTCCAATACTGTTCCCTTCACAAACACTATTTCTGCTTGGTTTATTTGACCTTTTGGTTTGGGTTTCTGAGAGAGTGAGTGTGTGAGAGAGTGTGTGTGTGTGTGTGTGTGTGTGTGTGTGTGTGTGTGTGTGTGTGTGTGTGTGTGTGTGTGTGTGTGTGTGTGTGTGTGTGTGTGTGTGTGTGTGTGGGTGTGTGTGTGTATGTGTGAGTGTGAGTGAGTGAGAAAGGTCTAAGGTAGACTCACACGTGTGTAACCCACGTACACTAACTGGTGCCCTTGGGCCCGTACAGCCAAGTCCCCGAGTGGAGGAAAGACGCCCCCAGGACCACGGACCCCGACGGGGGCCGGTCTGGCCTTCGGGGGGTGCGGTGGCTCCCTCAGCGCCTCCTCCAACACCACCCCGCGCCACGGCTCACCAGCTCACCAGGTAAAGCCACTCGTCACTCACTCATCCTAACCACTAAATGACCCACACATGTCTCCTCACACCAGCCATTTATTGCTATAAAAATTCCATTAAAGTCTTGACATGTTTCCCCCTGTTGCTGTGACTGGTGCCTCGTGTCAACAGAGTCGTCCTCAGGGCATGAAGAGCGTGGACAACGACCACGTGGCCTACGAGAACGAGCAGGACAAGCCCAGCACCCCGTCCAAGGAGGAACTGGAACTCAACGAGCGGAACCTGACCAAGGAAACGGCCCCAGCCCGCCTCGGGAAGCTCCACTTCAAGCTGAGGTGAAGAGAGCAGAGACAGAGAGAGAGAGACAGAGAGAGAGACAGTGAGAAACAGAGAGAGACAGAGAGAGAGAGAGAGAGAGAGACAGAGAGAGACAGAGACAGAGAGAGACAGAGACAGAGAGAGACAGAGACAGAGAGACAGAGACAGAGACAGAGACAGAGAGACAGAGAGAGAGAGAGAGACAGAGTCCATCCAATGGCCCATCCTCTGCCGCCAAACATAACGGTCTATCTAAATTAAGATCAGTTGGACGAGAAAGACAGCGATGTGTGTGTTTGTATTCACCTATTTGTGTCTGCATATCCACACTATATTACACACACACACACACACACACACACACACGCACGCCCTAATGGGATGCATTAGGCAGTGATGTGGTGGAGGCTGACCCCATACACAGTTTCAAGTGTAGACATGATAGAGCCCAGTAGGCTCAGGAATCTGTACACCTGTTGATTGACAGTTGAGACACCCCGCAAGGCGCAATTAGGTGAATACACGCGCGCGCGCGCGCACACACGCATAGATCACTGATCCTGTGGCTCAGTGAGCTACGTTATCGGTTCGCAACTGAGAGATCCGGGTGGGAGAAACGATTGGGCAACGTTTCTTATCATCTGATGCCTCTGTTATCTTGAGGTTATCTTGAGATGATTTCGGGGCTTTTTTAGTGTCCCCGCGGCCCGGTCCTCGACCAGGCCTCCACCCCCAGGAAGCAGCCCGTGACAGCTGACTAACACCCAGGTACCTATTTTACTGCTAGGTAACAGGGGCATAGGGTGAAAGAAACTCTGCCCATTGTTTCTCGCCGGCGCCTGCGATCGAACCCAGGACCACAGGATCACGAGTCCAGCGTGCTGTCCGCTCGGCTCCCTACGTTAAATAACGTTAAATAGGTACCTGAATGTTGAGATAGCTGTTCCAGGCAATGTTTGGGAGATGATATCTAACCCACTTATCTGAAAAATTAACCAGCGACTTGATATGGTCCGGGGCGGCCCGAGACGTCATTGTTTCTTCATTTTCAGGTGTGGGGGTTGGGTGTCAGGTGTGTGGGGTTGGGTGTCAGGTGGGGGGGGGGTGTCAGGTGTGGGGGGTTGGGTGTCAGGTGTGGGGGGGTTGGGTGTCAGGTGTGGGGGGGGTTGGGTGTCAGGTGTGGGGGGGGGGGTTGGGTGTCAGGTGTGGGGGGGGGGGTTGGGTGTCAGGTGTGGGGGGGGTTGGGTGTCAGGTGTGGGGGGGGTTGGGTGTCAGGTGTGGGGGGGGTTGGGTGTCAGGTGTGGGGGGGGTTGGGTGTCAGGTGTGGGGGGGGTTGGGTGTCAGGTGTGGGGGGGGTTGGGTGTCAGGTGTGTGGGGTTGGGTGTCAGGTGGGGGGGGGGGGGGGGGGTGGGTGTCAGGTGGGGGGTTGGGTGTCAGGTGTGGGGGGTTGGGTGTCAGGTGTGGGGGGGTTGGGTGTCAGGTGGGGGGGGTTGGGTGTCAGGTGGGGGGGGTTGGGTGTCAGGTGGGGGGGTTGGGTGTCAGGTGGGGGGGTTGGGTGTCAGGTGGGGTGGTTGGGTGTCAGGTGGGGGGGGGTTGGGTGTCAGGTGGGGGGGGTTGGGTGTCAGGTGGGGGGGGTTGGGTGTCAGGTGGGGGGGGTTGGGTGTCAGGTGGGGGGGGTTGGGTGTCAGGTGGGGGGGGTTGGGTGTCAGGTGTGGGGGGTTGGGTGTCAGGTGTGGGGGGTTGGGTGTCAGGTGTGGGGGGTTGGGTGTCAGGTGTGGGGGGTTGGGTGTCAGGTGTGGGGGGTTGGGTGTCAGGTGTGGGGGGTTGGGTGTCAGGTGTGGGGGGTTGGGTGTCAGGTGTGGGGGGTTGGGTGTCAGGTGTGGGGGGTTGGGTGTCAGGTGTGGGGGGGTTGGGTGTCAGGTGTGGGGGGGTTGGGTGTCAGGTGTGGGGGGGTTGGGTGTCAGGTGTGGGGGGGTTGGGTGTCAGGTGTGGGGGGTTGGGTGTCAGGTGTGGGGGGTTGGGTGTCAGGTGTGGGGGGTTGGGTGTCAGGTGTGGGGGGTTGGGTGTCAGGTGTGTGTGGGTGGGAGGGTCAAGTCAGGTGTGGGGGGGGGGTGTCAAATTGTCAGCCTCGTTTTTGTGACTCATTGTCTCCTCTTGGGGATGTACTCACCTAGTTGTGCTTGCGGGGGTTAAGCAGTGGCTCTTTGGTCCCGCCTCTTAACTGTCAATCAACTGGTGTACAGGTTACTGAGCCTACTGGGCTCTATCGTATCTACACTTGAAACTGTGTATGGAGTCAGCCTCCACCACATCACTGTCTAATGCATTCCATCTGTTAACGACTCTGACACTGAAAAAAATCTAATGTCTCTGTGGCTCATTTGGGTACTAAGTTTCCACCTGTGGCCCCTTGTTCGTGTTCCACCCGTGCTAAATAATTTGTCTTTGTCCACCCTGTCAATTTCCCTGAGAATTTTGTATATGGGGATCATGTCTCTCCTTACTCTTCTGTCTTCCAGGGACGTGAAGGTATAGCTCACTTAGCCTTTCCTCGTAGCTCATACCTCTCAATTCCGGGACCAGTCTGGTGGCATACCTCTGAATCTTCTCTAACTTTGTCTTGTGTTTAACTAGCTATGGACTACAGGCTAGAGCTGCATACTCCAGGATTGGTCTGACATAAGTGGTATACAGGGTCCTAAACGATTCCTTACACAAGTTTCTAAAGGCAGTTCTTATGCTGGTCAATCTAGCATATGCCGCTGATGATATCCTTTTGGTGTGGGCCTCTGGGGACAGGTTCAGTGTGATATCAACCCCCAGATCTTTCTTTCTATTTGACTCTAGCAGAATTTCACCTCCCAGATGGTACCTTGTGTTCAGCCTTCTGCTCCCTTCCCTCCCTAATTTCATTACTTTACACTTTCCTGAGTTGAACGTTAGTAGCCATTTTCTAGACCATTTACACTAATTTGTCCAGATCGTCCTGTAGTCTATCTTCATCTGTCTTGATCCTTCTCATAATTTTTCCATCATCAGCAAACATTGAGAGGAATGAGTCTATACCCTCTGGAAGGTCGTTTACTCCTGCCTGTTGATCCAACTTTTGTAACAGCCTTTTATGGGGGTACTGTGTCAAAGGCTTTCTGACAGTCCAAGAAAATTCAGTCTGCCCACCTTTCTCTTTCTTGCCTAATGTTTGTTGCTTGGTCATAGAATTCTATTAAGCCTGTGAGGCATGGTATAAGGTAAAAGAGGTACGATATAATGTGAGACTGTCACCCCTGACAGGCTCACATTAGTCCCCCTCTACCCCCCCCCCCCCCTCTATTGACACCCGCACATAACCCCCCCCCCCCCCCAACCGACAGGTACAACTTTGACAAGAACGCGTTAGTAGTGACCATCGTGAAGTGCACGGGTCTGCCAGCCAAGGACCCGGCCCTCACCTCCAGCGACCCCTACGTCAAGCTTCAGCTCCTGCCAGAGAAACAACACAAGGTGAAGACCCGGGTGTTGCGCAAGACGCTCTCGCCCGTCTACGACGAGGACTTCACCTTCTACGGCATCAACTACTCCCAGCTCCAGGTACGCCAGGCAGAATACCATAGTTGCCCCTTTAAAATTTATACCTGCCATTCTTTGTTACTCAGAGAACGTTTTCTGTTACTGACGTATGATAAACATTTATAGCGTGTGTGTGTTACATTAGCGTGTGTGTGTTACATTAGCGTGTGTGTGTTACGCAGGTGATCACGCTACACTTCGTGGTGCTGAGCTTTGACCGCTACTCTCGCGACGACATCATCGGGGAGGTGGTGGCCCCGCTGGCCCAGCTGGACCTGGCCAACACAGAGACCTCTCTCAACCTCACCAGGGAGATCACTCCGCGCTCCCTCAAGGTAACTCACTGCCTCCCTTCAAGGTAATTCACGCCCCCCTCAACGTTGTTCTTTTATTGACAGTTCACTCTTTCTCAGGTTCACTCGTTCTTGCCAGGCTATTTTGGTCACTTCTGTTGGAGGTAACTCTTCAAGCTCTTGCATGGTAGCCCCCCTTGTCATCAAGGTGTGACAGGTAGCCCCTGTCATCAAGGTGTGACAGGTAGCCCCTGTCATCAAGGTGTGACAGGTAGCCCCCTTGTCATCAAGGTGTGACAGGTAGCCCCTGTCATCAAGGTATGACAGGTAGCCCCTGTCATCAAGGTCAGGGAAACTCACACTACGGGTCTGGTAGCTGAGTGGACAGCGCGCGGGACTCGTAATCCTGTGGCCCGGGTTCGATTCCCGGCGCCGGCAGAAACAAATGGGCAGAGTTTCTTTCACCCTGATGCCCCTGTTACCTAGCAGTAAACAGGTACCTGGGAGTTAGACAACTGTTACGGGCTGCTTCCTGGGGATGTGTAGGGGGGGGGAGAAAAAAAATTAGTAACAGTTGATTGATTGACAAGATTACGGTGAGCCAAGCCCGCTGTACCATGACGTGTTATTGTCACCGTAGGTACCATTACTGTCACCGTAGGGCCCCCGTGGTACCGAGCCCATACTCCAGCGGCCATGTGCTCCATCACCCGTCTCTCTCATTACAAACTGTGATCATAGTAATCACAACAGCGTGATGGATCAATGTGAAAATTGGACTGTGGATAGCAACTAGGTGCGTCCCTAACTCCATGTAGGTTCAGCACAACCTGACAGTGGGTAGTGAGTGTTTCTGCCAAGGTCAGGGACGGCAGTTCGATCCCATCACATTGCCTCGCTAGTATTCCACACTTCTTAGTTTTAGTACGAAGTTAAATACCTACTCCAGCATACTTACCTCATACTGTGGAGCACGTATGATGGGGAGACGGATTCACACAGCTCACAATAGCGTGATGTATCAAATGAACAAATCCAAATCTTGATGAGGGTTCGAATCTACACACGGGTTGTTCCCCCAGATCCTCCTTAGTCGATTGTACCACGAAACTGACCATGTGGTGGTACAGTTGACTAGGGCGCATCTGGGTACATCCTGTGCGTGGGTTCGAACCCTCCCTCAAGGCCTTTGTGGATTTGTTCATTTGCAGATGGATTGTTAGCCTTAAGACTACTCAGTAGACGTGTGAAGAACCATCCCCCCCCCCAGCAACACTCTGGTGTTAGTGTTGTTGGTGCAGAACACGGGTGGTGTTGTCTGTTGTGTTGTCTGTCGTCTTTGTTTTATGTCTCTCATAGTTCTTTTGCAGTAGCTTTTCAACTATTAATACAGGACAGTGTACAATATGGGTGTTAAAGTCTAATGCTTGGAATTATATTGACTTATAGTTATTGGCCCCCCCCCCAGCCCCTGCCCCAGCCCCCCCACCCCCACACTTGCCCCTCCCAGCCCCCCCCCACACTCGCCCCTCCCAGCCCCCCCCACACTCGCCCCTCCCAGCCCCCCCAACACTCGCCCCTCCCAGCCCCCCCCCCAACACTCGCCCCTCCCAGCCCCCCCCCCAACATTCGCCCCTCCCAGCCCCCCCCCCAACACTCGCCCCTCCCAGCCCCCCCCACACTCGCCCCTCCCAGCCCCCCCAACACTCGCCCCTCCCAGCCCCCCCCAACACTCGCCCCTCCCAGCCCCCCCCCCAACATTCGCCCCTCCCAGCCCCCCCCCCAACACTCGCCCCTCCCAGCCCCCCCCCCCACACTCGCCCCTCCCAGCCCCCCCCACTCGCCCCTCCCAGCCCCCCCCCACACTCCCCCCTCTCAGCCCCCCCCAACACTCGCCCCTCTCAGCCCCCCCCAACACTCGCCCCTCTCAGCCCCCCCCCAACACTCGCCCCTCCCAGCCCCCCCCCCCACTCGCCCCTCCCAGCCCCCCCCCCCCCAACACTCGCCCCTCCCAGCCACCCCCCCCAACACTCGCCCCTCCCAGCCCCCCCCCCCCCCACTCGCCCCTCCCAGCCCCCGTCCCAGCACGCCGTGTGGGGAGTGTGGGGCAGGTAACGCCCCCGCTGGCCTAACCCTCCCCAGTATGATGTGGAGCGCGTTACCCACAGATCCGTTCGCAGGGCCGGGGCGAGCTGCTGGTGTCCCTCTGTCACCAGCCCGCGGCCAACCGCCTCACCGTCGTCGTCCTCAAGGCCAGAAACCTGCCCAAAATGGACATAACGGGCCTCTCAGGTCAGTGGCAAACCCTCTAAACCATATTTCTCACTCTCATACGGCCCAACCACTTACGGTGGACGGTAGAGCTTCCTGCTGGTCGACGTTCAAGCCCCCCCCCTCGACCGTCCAAGTGGTTGGGCACCATTCCTTCCCCTCCGTCCCATCCCTAATCCTTATCACTTCCAATTGCTATATAGTCGTAATGGCTGCGCTTTCTCCTGATAGTTCCCGGCCCTTCCCCCCCCCCCTCTCATGTTTATATGATTATAAAGTTATATATAATTTGTTTGTCAGTTTAAGATAATTTTGTACTTGCGTCAAAAATGCCAGGTATAAATTATATATATATATATATATATTATATATATATATATATGGTATTAATTTCATCAACACAAGACAGAACACAAAACAATGGGTATTGAATAGAAGTGTTTGTAGAAAGCCTATTGGTCCATATTTCTTGATGCTTCTATATTAGACTCCGCTCCAATATAGAAGCATCAAGAAATATGGACCAATAGGCTTTCTACAAACACTTCTATTCAATACCCATTGTTTTGTGTTCTGTCTTGTGTTGATGAAATATATATATATATATATATATATATATATATATATATATATATATATATATATATATATATGCGAACAAGCCTGAATGGTCCCCAGGACAATATGCAACTGAAAACTCACACCCCAGAAGTGACTCGACCCCATACTCCCAGGAGCCACGCAATTGCGTGGCTCCTGGGAGTATGGGTTCGAGTCACTTCTGGGGTGTGAGTTTTCAGTTATATATATATATATATATATATATATATATATATATATATATATATTATATATATATATATATATATATATATATATATATATATATATATATCAGAAAATAAAGCTAAAATCAAACTTGTATGTTTCTTGGTCTAGTATGGCACATATATGTACTATATTAGGCCTCAGATAGCGGGTATTAGACCTAGGATAACCTCAGATAGCGGGTATTAGACCTAGGATAACCTCAGATAGCGGGTATTAGACCTAGGATAACCTCAGATAGCGGGTATTAGACCTAGGATAACCTCAGATAGCGGGTATTAGACCTAGGATAACCTCAGATAGCGGGTATTAGACCTAGGATAACCTCAGATAGCGGGTATTAGCCCTAGGATAACCTCGGATAGCAGGTATTAGACCTAGGATAACCTCAGATAGCGGGTATTAGACCTAGGATAACCTCAGATAGCGGGTATTAGACCTAGGATAACCTCAGATAGCGGGTATTAGACCTAGGATAACCTCAGATGTCCAAATTCAATAGCAACAAATTCGAATTTTTAATTGTCCACAACGTCAATATTTATACGTACCATTTCACCTGATGCCCCTGTTACCTAGCAGTAAATAGGTACCTGGGAGTTAGTCAGCTGTCACGGGCTGCTTCCTGGGGGTGAGTGTGTGTTATGCACGTGCATATATATATATATATATTTATGCGTTTATGCAGCAATATTGGATTACTACATTGGTCACTCATAGTTCATGATACAAGCCCACAAGAGTGTCAGTGGTGGTAGGTCAGTGGTGGTAGGCCAGTGGTGGTGGTGGTAGGCCAGTGGTGGTGGTGGTGGTAGGCCAGTGGTGGTGGTGGTGGTAGGCCAGTGGTGGTAGGCCAGTGGTGGTAGGCCAGTGGTGGTGGTGGTGGTAGGCCAGTGGTGGTGGTGGTAGGCCAGTGGTGGTGGTGGTGGTGGTAGGCCAGTGGTGGTGGTGGTGGTGGTAGGCCAGTGGTGGTGGTGGTGGTAGGCCAGTGGTGGTGGTGGTGGTAGGCCAGTGGTGGTGGTGGTGGTAGGCCAGTGGTGGTGGTGGTGGTGGTAGGCCAGTGGTGGTGGTTGTGGTAGGCCAGTGGTGGTGGTGGTAGGCCAGTGGTGGTGGTAGGCCAGTGGTGGTGGTGGTGGTAGGCCAGTGGTGGTGGTGGTGGTAGGCCAGTGGTGGTGGTAGGCCAGTGGTGGTGGTGGTGGTAGGCCAGTGGTGGTGGTGGTGGTGGTAGGCCAGTGGTGGTGGTGGTAGGCCAGTGGTGGTGGTGGTAGGCCAGTGGTGGTGGTGGTAGGCCAGTGGTGGTGGTAGGCCAGTGGTGGTGGTGGTAGGCCAGGGGTGGTGGTGGTGGTAGGCCAGTGGTGGTGGTGGTGGTAGGCCAGTGGTGGTGGTGGTAGGCCAGTGGTGGTGGTGGTAGGCCAGTGGTGGTGGTGGTGGTAGGCCAGTGGTGGTGGTGGTGGTAGGCCAGTGATGGTGGTGGTGGTAGGCCAGTGGTGGTGGTGGTAGGCCAGTGGTGGTGGTGGTGGTAGGCCAGTGGTGGTGGTGGTGGTAGGCCAGTGGTGGTGGTGGTAGGCCAGTGGTGGTGGTGGTAGGCCAGTGGTGGTGGTGGTGGTAGGCCAGTGGTGGTGGTGGTGGTAGGCCAGTGGTGGTGGTGGTGGTAGGCCAGTGATGGTGGTGGTGGTAGGCCAGTGGTGGTGGTGGTGGTAGGCCAGTGGTGGTGGTGGTGGTAGGCCAGTGGTGGTGGTGGTGGTAGGCCAGTGGTGGTGGTGGTGGTAGGCCAGTGGTGGTGGTGGTGGTAGGCCAGTGGTGGTGGTGGTAGGCCAGTGGTGGTGGTGGTAGGCCAGTGGTGGTGGTGGTAGGCCAGTGGTGGTGGTGGTAGGCCAGTGGTGGTTGTGGTAGGCCAGTGCTGTCAGTGGTGGTGGTGGGTGTATGAGTGAGAACACAGAGGTGACTGGGGTAATACCTTCAACCCATCCTCAGAACTGACAGTACTGTTTAATACTAAGTAATAAGTTCATTTCCTGACTGTTAGGCATAGTTCATAATTACAATTGTGCCGTTACAATTCCCGACTGTCATACATAGTACATAATTGCACTTATGGGGCTGTTACATTTATCTCCCCATTTATTCTCCTCGTTTTCTGTTAAGACACACTGAATTTTAGGATGAAGTTTTCAAGTTCACTTCGCTATACACAAGTTTTAAATATTAGGATTTTTTCAGTTTTATTAAACAATAGAGATTTTACAAAAAAAAATTGAAAATATCCTGAGTTACTTTACAATTTATTAAAATATTTTAGTTTTGTTTTATTAGTATTTTAAAACTGTAATATCAATATAGCTATAGGTTAAGTACTAATTGTAATTAAAAAGCAATAAAATGCTTATCTTCAAACACTAAGAAGGTTAGGTTAGGTCGTGGTTTTCTATTCAGCTTTTTCAGGTAAACTCAAATATTCACAATATATTTGACATTACAGTTTAATACCAAGTGAAAAGAAGTACAATTCCTGACGGCTATGAATAGTACATAATTGCACTTACTTGTGGTGTTATATTTACCTCCCCATTTTTGGAGGACGGGCCGACTACCACACAACCCCACCATGGGTTGCTGGAGAACACGGTGTTCACTACTGAGTCACGGTATGCTCTATAGTGCCTCAACCCGTCCTCGACTCAAGTCCATTCCATCCAGCGGTCGACCCCACAGACTCATTCATAAATTTTTACATGCTGTTCATTCAAAACAGGAATTTTCTCAAATATAAATTAATATTATAATCTATTATCATATCGTGCATATATAGGCATAGGGTAGGTTAGGTGTTTAGGTTCTGTTGGCGATTATTTGTATTTGTAGTACGTGGGTGAAGCATTTATAGCTTTTTATTTCGAACAAAATTCGTCAGTGAAGCACTTGTTCCGGAAGTGTTCGAACGTCATCAGTTGAGAGTCGTGTGTAACCCGTTTGTCATTCATAAACAGTGGGTTTGGCGGGTGGATGGAATGGTCTTTGGGCCTTTGGAGGACCACACCCTCTACTTGGTGGAGTAGGGAATACCCTACTCCACCAACCCCCACCCCCCTATTCCACACATCACCGCCCCCTACACCACAGACCCCCTACTCCACAGACCCCCTACTCCACAGACCCCCTACTCCACAGACCCCCTACTCCACCGCCCCCCTACTCCACCGCCCCCCTACTCCACAGACCCCTACTCCACAGACCCCTACGTCAAGATCTACCTGCTGTTCAACGGACAACGGGTGGCCAAGAAGAAGACCCACGTCAAGAAGCGGACACTAAACCCGGTCTTCAACGAGTCCTTCGTCTTCGACCTGCCGGCCGGCGTCGACGGCCTGGACAGCATCAGCCTCGAGTTCCTCTTACTTGACTGGGACAGAGTAACCAAGAACGAGGTCAGTGGTTCGAGCTCACTCCCCACTTACCCGACCACTTGGGCTGGACGGTAGAGCGACGGTCTCGCTTCATGCAGGTCGGCGTTCAATCCTCGACTGTCCAAGTGGTTGGGCACCATTCCTTTCCCATCGTCCCATCCCTTATCCTGACACCTTTCCCAGTGCTATATAGTCGTAATGGCTTGGCGCTTTCTCCTGATTGCTTCTATTGACAGTTGTGTGTACTCACCTAGTTGTGCTTGCGGGGTTGAGCTTTGGCTCTTTGGCCCCGCCTTTGGCTGTGTGTGTGTGTGTCGCCACAGAGTGTACTGGAGAGGCATTTGGAGAATATTACAAATGTTTCAACATTCATCAACACACAACAACTCATCTTCACAACTGAATAGGTTTGAACTTTCATTGAGCTTCACTCATTTCCTGTGTTCATGTGTTCAAAATATAACATTAGCAAATACTCAACACGTTTAATATATTCGAATAATTTCCAAGAGATCTACGAAACGTTTTCTACCCTAAACTTGCTGACAAAAAACTATATATATATATATATATATATATATATATATATATATATATATATACACATATGTAAACAAATAACGCTTTTATAACAAAATACTAAAAATTACTATGAGGCATTCAAGCCATTTCCAAATGCGCCTTTGTGCAATTTTCGAAGTATAATAAAAGGCAACATTGTAATAAATTCACAATGACGTGATATATCAAGGAAAATAACTTAGAAGCAAAGGAATGACTCGAACGAGCGTTCTGGTGAGTCCCAGATTCAGTAGAGTTGCGGGTATACAACACTATACCTGTGATTGCCCTGTTATAAGTGACTTCAAACCTAATGGTATGAGGTACTTTGAGTTCTGTAATTACTTCATACACTCAGGGATATTAGAAGATATTCTTGTGCTGTTCCCAGAGTTTGCTAGTGGAGGCTAATAGATTTTAGGCCTTATATTTCATGTTATCACCTGATTTTTAGTCAGAGTTGATTTGTTTTGTATTGAGGCAGGTATGCATATGTCTGTGTATGCATAGCATACATTGTCTCCCCTGACTCCATGTATGACTAACCATCCTGTGAGGTGGGAATATTACATGAACTTCCAGCTAGGTCTTGATCTACACTGTGTAATATTTTATATAAAATAGGGCAGCAGCACAGCGCTGTGTATACCTAAGCTTGTTAATAATAAATAAAAACATCGTGAGAGAATAGGTTGTGGCAGGTGACTGGGAATCACCAGTAAGTTCACTGCGGGCTCACCATAGCCTGTGCTACTTGAAGCTCTTTGCTCCAAGTAGCGAATCTTAAACAAAGGGAATCACCCGAATGCTGGTTCAAGTCACTCCATTGCCTCTGAATGATTGTAATAGGCGGTATAATAATTGAATATAATATTTCAATATAAAATAACATGTTTCTACATAAGTATTGTGCGCACAATGAACACAGTCTCAAATAAATACCATTAAGCATGCAGTTACTGTGTCCACTACACTCCTTAGTTGCTTCACTTAGCTAGTCCCAGAACTAAGAGGCATGAGTTACAAGGAAAGACTGCATGAAATGCACATCACATCGCTGGAAGACACGAGACATCGGGGAGACATGATCACTACCTACAAAATTCTAAGAATAATTTACAGGGTAGATAAAGAAACTGTTTAACACGGGTGGTACGCCAACAAGGGGACACAGGTGGAGACGAGTACCTACACGAGTCACAGGGACGTTAGAAAGAACTTTTTCAGTGTCAGAGTAGTTAACAGGTGTAATGCATTAGGCAGTGATGTGGTGGAGGCTGACTCCATACACAGTTTCAAATGTAGATATGATAGAGCCCAATAGGCTCAGGAACCTGTACACCAGTTGATTGACAGTTGAGAGGCGGGAGCAAAGAGCCAGAACTCAACCCCCACAAACACAACTAGGTGAGTACTTGACACAAGTCACCATGAAGGTACGGTGTTGCTCTCAAATACACACACAACAGTTCCTGAACTTTCCATTTTATTCAATACATAAATGATTAAGAAAAGATGATGCATGAACTTAAGCTGCCTTAAACCCTTCTAAACCTCCGTTATGTAAGACTGTGTTTGTTGAAGCTTTAATTATTGTGGTAGATGGTGCGGGGAGTGACTCACCCCGGCACCAGTAAGAACATTTACAAGAACTTTTCCAACAAGAACAGAATTTCTTAGCCAGCTGCTTCTGTTTTGCAGGTGATTGGTCGGTTGGAGTTGGGCGGGGCCAGAGCAGCGTGTGGCTCAGCCAATCACCACTGGAGCGAGGTGGTGACGTCACCACGCCGCCAGATAGCTGAGTGGCACAAGTTAAGGGAGTAGTGTAGCTGAGAGCAGCAAGCACTGAGAAGTCAATATAGCAGCTGGCACCTGGACCATCACGTCAGTAGTGTAGCTGACGGCAGCGGTTGTGCTGCACGTCAGCCACAGCACCGCCGGGGGAGACGGGGGGGGACGCGCCCACTAGAGGGAGCCTCTGCTTGTCTCATCTTGAACTTCTATCGTAAAATACATATTTGTAACGCTCTGGGAACACTAATTTGATCTCGTTCTGTACCTTGCTCGCTTGTGGCCGCCTTGATGACTGATCTGAGAGCTGTGCTTACCGCCTTCCTCTATGTATGTATGTGTGTGTGTGTACTTACCTAGTTGTGTTTGCGGGGGTTGAGCTCTGGCTCTTTGGTCCCGCCTCAAACATTGAGGGGCCTGTCCGGGAGCCTGTACTGTGTGTGTGTGTGTGTGTGTGTGTGTATGCATAGCATGCGACGCTGCCGCTGCCGAAGTAGCCAAAGACGACTCAGCTTTCGAGTCTGAACAACCATTAAACAAGCTGGCGTCTTGAGGTGACCTTTAGACCTTAGTGGAGAACTTTGATAACGGGGGGGGGGGGGCAACGGCTGCCTGCGTCACCTCTTGTGGCGGAACCTGTCACCAGGGTGTACTACTGTGTCACCAGGGTGTACTGGTGTGTCACCAGGGTGTACTAGTGTCACCAGGGTGTACTAGTGTGTCACCAGGGTGTACTAGTGTGTCACCAGTGTGTACTAGTGTGTCACCAGTGTCACCAGGGTGTACTAGTGTCACCAGGGTGTACTAGTGTGTCACCAGGGTGTACTACTGTGTCACCAGGGTGTACTAGTGTGTCACCAGGGTGTACTAGTGTGTCACCAGGGTGTACTGGTGTGTCACCAGGGTGTACTGGTGTGTCACCAGGGTGTACTAGTGTGTCACCAGGGTGTACTACTGTGTCACCAGGGTGTACTGGTGTGTCACCAGGGTGTACTAGTGTGTCACCAGGGTGTACTAGTGTGTCACCAGGGTGTACTAGTGTGTCACCAGGGTGTACTGGTGTGTCACCAGGGTGTACTGGTGTGTCACCAGGGTGTCGCCATTGTCACCAGGGTGTACTAGTGTGTCACCAGGGTGTCGCCATTGTCACCAGGGTGTACTAGTGTGTCACCAGGGTGTACTACTGTGTCACCAGGGTGTACTAGTGTGTCACCAAGGTGTACTAGTGTGTCACCAAGGTGTACTAGTGTGTCACCAGGGTGTACTAGTGTGTCACCAGGGTGTACTAGTGTGTCACCAGGGTGTACTACTGTGTCACCAGGGTGTACTACTGTGTCACCAGGGTGTACTACTGTGTCACCAGGGTGTACTAGTGTGTCACCAGGGTGTACTAGTGTGTCACCAGGGTGTACTAGTGTGTCACCAGTGTGTACTAGTGTGTCACCAGGGTGTACTAGTGTCACCAGGGTGTACTAGTGTGTCACCAGGGTGTACTAGTGTGTCACCAGGGTGTACTAGTGTGTCACCAGTGTGTACTAGTGTGTCACCAGGGTGTACTAGTGTGTCACCAGGGTGTACTAGTGTGTCACCAGGGTGTACTAGTGTGTCACCAGGGTGTACTAGTGTGTCACCAGGGTGTACTAGTGTGTCACCAGGGTGTACTAGTGTGTCACCAGGGTGTACTAGTGTGTCACCAGGGTGTACTAGTGTGTCACCAGGGTGTACTAGTGTGTCACCAGGGTGTACTAGTGTGTCACCAGGGTGTACTAGTGTGTCACCAGGGTGTACTAGTGTGTCACCAGGGTGTACTAGTGTGTCACCAGGGTGTACTAGTGTGTCACCAAGGTGTGTACTGGTGTGTCACCAGGGTGTACTAGTGTCACCAGGGTGTACTAGTGTGTCACCAGGGTGTACTAGTGTGTCACCAAGGTGTACTAGTGTGTCACCAGGGTGTACTACTGTGTCACCAGGGTGTACTACTGTGTCACCAGGGTGTACTACTGTGTCACCAGGGTGTACTACTGTGTCACCAGGGTGTACTACTGTGTCACCAGGGTGTACTACTGTGTCACCAGGGTGTACTACTGTGTCACCAGGGTGTACTACTATGTCACCAGGGTGTACTACTGTGTCACCAGGGTGTACTACTGTGTCACCAGGGTGTACTACTGTGTCACCAGGGTGTACTACTGTGTCACCAGGGTGTCGCCAGTGTCACCAAAGTGTCGCCAGTGTCACCAAGGTGTCGCCAGGGTGTTGCCAGTGTCGCCAAGGTGTCACCAAAGTGTCGCCAGGGTGTCGTCAGAGAAAGTTGTCAGATATTGTCTCAAAGAGTTGACAGTTGTGCTGGTAGTATTGTGGTGGTGGTGGTAGTGTGATGGTGGTGGTAGTGTGATGGTGGTGGTAGTGTGATGGTGGTGGTAGTGTGGTGGTGGTGGTAGTGTGGTGGTGGTGGTAGTGTGGTGGTAGTGTGGTGGTGGTGGTAGTGTGGTAGTGTGGTGGTGGTGGTAGTGTGGTGGTGGTGGTGGTAGTGTGGTGGTGGTAGTGTGGTGGTGGCTGGTGACACCCACCACCTAAGGGGCCACTACCGCTAGTAGAGTACCCAAGAACACCCAATATTTCCCTCGTAAGACAGCCCGCAACAAGGGATTTATTTTCATTGTAAACCCCTTTTATTTAAGTCAACTTCATATAACGTAAATAACCGCAGCCAATTCAAGCTAACATAACGATATATAATAGTTTAACCAATTATAAAACGAGGTTAGGTATATGGGAAGTGCTTCAGTACTATTGCTAGGTATCTGGGCAGCTCCCTCTCCCTCCTGACACACGGCCCTCGCCCCCAAAGGCCGCCAGAGGCCGGCCCTCGCCCCCAGAGGCCGCCAGAGGCCGGCCCTCGTCCCCAGAGGCCGGCCCTCGTCCCCAGAGGCCGGCCCTCGTCCCCAGAGGCCGCCAGAGGCCGGCCCTCGTCCCCAGAGGCCGCCAGAGGCCGGCCCTCGTCCCCAGAGGCCGCCAGAGGCCCCCAGATGCCGCCAGAGGCCGGCCCTCGTCCCCAGAGGCCGCCAGAGGCCGGCCCTCGTCCCCAGAGGCCGCCAGAGGCCGGCCTTCGTCCCCAGAGGCCGCCAGAGGCCGGCCTTCGTCCCCAGAGGCCGGCCTTCGTCCCCAGAGGCCGGCCTTCGTCCCCAGAGGCCGGCCCTCGTCCCCAGAGGCCGCCAGAGGCCCCCAGATGCCGCCAGAGGCCGGCCCTCAGCACTTACTACAATATATAATCTACCAGACTGCCGTGTCCATCTCACAACTGATCACCGGGTTTGACCTCACTAGTACTCCAAGCCACGTTGATACCCGCTATAACTGTTAATTTCACGCAACTGGATATTGAGCGGTCACTGCTGAAACTATTCAGCCTACTCCCTCCCCCTATCACCACCACCTGTCAGCTTCCTATCGCCCTCACTATAAATAAGCTGGACAATAAATTTTGTTTTTCCGGACTGCCTTAAAAGGTGAGTGAAGTGGTGCCCTTGTCCACCAGCCTGCAGCTGCTGCGTCCCCCTGCCTGTCCTGCCACACCACCTGCTCTCTCCATTGTCCACCAGCCTGCAGCTGCTGCGTCCCCCTGCCTGTCCTGCCACACCACCTGCTCTCTCCATTGTCCACCAGCCTGCAGCTGCTGCGTCCCCCTGCCTGTCCTGCCACACCACCTGCTCTCTCCATTGTCCACCAGCCTGCAGCTGCTGCGTCCCCCTGCCTGTCCTGCCACACCACCTGCTCTCTCCATTGTCCACCAGCCTGCAGCTGCTGCGTCCCCCTGCCTGTCCTGCCACACCACCTGCTCTCTCCATTGTCCACCAGCCTGCAGCTGCTGCGTCCCCCTGCCTGTCCTGCCACACCACCTGCTCTCTCCATTGTCCACCAGCCTGCAGCTGCTGCGTCCCCCTGCCTGTCCTGCCACACCACCTGCTCTCTCCATTGTCCACCAGCCTGCAGCTGCTGCGTCCCCCTGCCTGTCCTGCCACACCACCTGCTCTCTCCATTGTCCACCAGCCTGCAGCTGCTGCGTCCCCCTGCCTGTCCTGCCACACCACTTGCTCTCTCCATTGTCCACCAGCCTGCAGCTGCTGCGTCCCCCTGCCTGTCCTGCCACACCACCTGCTCTCTCCACTTCTGAATCTTGCGAAGGAATTCTGGTCTTTTTGGAAATATGTAACTATAAATGGCTACATATTTCGCAAGAAATCTTGATGTGAAGGGATAGCAGGTGCTCACACACACATACAGTATATATATACATATACACATATATATATATATATATATATATATATATATATATATATATATATATATATATATATATATATATATATATATATATATATATATATATATATATATATATATATATATATATATATATATATATATATATATATATATATATATATATATATATATATATATATATATATATATATATATATATATATATATATATATATATATATATATATATATATATATATATATATATATATATATATATATATATATATATATATATATATATATATATATATATATATATATATATATATATATATATATATATATATATATATATATATATATATATATATATATATATATATATATATATATATATATATATATATATATATATATATATATATATATATATATATATATATATATATATATATATATATATATATATATATATATATATATATATATATATATATATATATATATATATATATATATATATATATATATATATATATATATATATATATATATATATATATATATATATATATATATATATATATATATATATATATATATATATATATATATATATATATATATATATATATATATATATATATATATATATATATATATATATATATATATATATATATATATATATATATATATATATATATATATATATATATATATATATATATATATATATATATATATATATATATATATATATATATATATATATATATATATATATATATACACATTATATATATATATATATATATATATATATATATATATATATATATATATATATTACACTATGTGTGTGTCTGTGTGTGTATATATAATGTTCCTTAGAGGTGTGATGGAGTTTCGGGCGAAATACCATATCTACATAGTGGAAAAAACTGACTCATATAAATATATATATATATATATATATACACATGTCCACTTTCATATTTATAAACATGCATGTCTGTACATGTCTTGAACGTGATATAATATATTTTCCTTGTGTTAGAAGCGTCACGTATCATGCATAAATGTTCAGAGAGAAGTATGATACATACATGTCCAGAGACGTTATACATACATGTTAATCAGAGACTGGTAACACACATTTATGTTGAGAGAGAGAGAGAAGGAAGACTGTTACAAGTCGCCGTTAAGGTAACTCCAGGAAGGTGTTTCGGGGATGTTATCAGTGTGTGTATTATTCTAAAGTGTTGTTATAAGTGTTATCTGTGATGATAACATGTATCACATGTTGCCAATTGCTGTAGTAGTCGAATTTATTAAAGTATTTCAACATCAGATTCATTTTTCTGCGTATTCCTGCATTTTGGGGCCTTCTGCTGCGTGATATGTGGCAACCCGTTCTCGCCCTTGCTTATAGTCAATATTGGCTTATTAATAAGTGCATATGTGACATTCTAATTTATTGTGACTATTTTAGTTCACCTTGAAAAGC